ACCCGCGAGAGAGTGCAGAGGCGGTTTAAAGGGCTGAGTTCAAGTAGTCCGTCAACCACTGAATTTTTTTCCATTCTTCTTAGCTTTTCTAACAAATCTTTCTCTAGGTGAACGTATCTGTGGACACCAAAGGTCCTCACGAAGCTGCAATAAGGGAGTTGCTGAGCAAAGCTGGAACCGAAAAAATCCGGGTCATTTGAATTTCTTTTCTCTCAAATATTTCTTTTAGGGTTTCTTTCTTTCTAAAATATCTATTGTAACATGCTTTGCAATTACATTCAAGAAGTATTTATAGGCTGCGCTTGATGTATATATACGTGAGCTTAAAGAGGAATTTAGTAAAGGTCTCATTCTTCCGACAGACAAAGTCAAGCCTCAGGTATGTGGTCATGAGTCGATTTGTTGTGCATTCCTGGTAGTTCGTTTGAAAATGAAGTACTACATGAACTAAAGCCCAAGAACGTTCACTTTTTTCCGGGAATTCTTGCACAGATACATTCTTTTCAAGCCCTTCAGCACGGGGAGCGGGGATATCTCAAAATTATCGTAGTGGAAATTCAAATTTTCGAGATGTGGGAGGTTTGATGTAAATTCGAAAAAATCAGTAAAAGTTTCCCGTTTCACGTGGAATTTGACAAAAATGACCTACTGTATTATAATGCAAAAGACTTCTGGCGGGTTCCTGAAAGTTTGTGAATGTCCCATTGATTATGTAATTGGAAATATCGTTTGCAAACAAATACCAAGTTAGTGAATTGAACCGTAAGATTATTCACCATCTGCACTCATTCAACATTTTCAGGTTGTAACGAAAGGAAAGACCGCTGTCGTAGATAAGAAAAGCTTCCAGAATATGGTTAAGTGATATAGCGTGATTCAGTCTCAAATTTCATTTTTTTCCTTATTCCAGGTCATAACTGATGACAAAAGCAACGCTCCAAAAACTGGTATGTTAACATTTAGGCCGCGTTCATAGTTTGCGATATTGTGTCTGCGGTTTTGCGATCTTACGATTTTTCGTGGAGTAGATGCGTATCGATTCTGTTCTTATGATCTCACGATCACGGAATCGCATGGTGATGCGCATGCACTCCGAATTAGAATTGCAAAACGAACTGCAAAACAATTCGCAAAGTATAACCGTAGCCTTGCTTTTGCAACTGGATAAAAAATCTTGCTTTGTTAGTTTGAAAAGTGTTCGACGTGAACAAGTCAAGTGGAAATGAAGTCAGTGGAAATAAGCGAGTCATACAAAGTGCCTCCTGATCGCCTTTTCGAAGTTTTAAGCGAACCTAATGTGAGTTTTGCTTTTTATTCATTACCAAAAGAGCAAAGTCTGACTCAAAATTCATTTAATTCCTGTTTTTTAATCTTTCTCGAAGTGGCATCATATTCTCACAAACTTGACAGAATCACAAAAATCGATTTTGAGTGAAATTAGGATATTGGAAAATTGTTTCTGTGGCCGCTCTCGAAGCCGTGCAGCTTAACCCATAATCCACAGGAGACATTACGAAATGCTCGTTCACTTTGCTCAATCCCTACTACTTCGGCGTGTCATTGCCTTTTAGGGGAAGTTGATCGGTGCACATCGAAGTCGCGCATTCGATTTGCACCTTTCACCACTCTGCGTCGTCGTATTTACGATAGCAAAACACCACCTTTGTCTGCAGAAAGTGAAGCAAGCGTTTACCGTTCTTGCGTTTGTTGTATAAGCGAAGGGTTCTCTTCCGGCTAATGCAATCTAGCGCGCGTTCTGGTTTATCCAATGTGACGCTAGTAAGAGAGGCAAAATGAGAACTAATCTAAGAGCTTGTGCATAATCGGTTGTGCCCGTCCCGTACTCACTATTTTTGCATGCTGTCATTTTCTACAGGCCAGGATTTAACTTATGGTCAACCTACGGAGAGTTTTCTATTGAGTAATATTTTGGAATTGGACAATCACTGCATAGTTTCTCATGTGTGATAGACGCCCGTTTAGATTCGCGATCCGGAAGTAAATGAATTGATCTCTATTTTCAGAAACTGTGTGGGATTTCGCATTTCGAAATTCCATGTTAAAAGAATTTTCATCGAGTTACTTAAGAAAATGCGTTGTTTCAGTACGTCCGGGTGTGGGCGAATGGTAATGTGGAGTGGGATTTCAAACAAGGTGGAAAGTTTGCTCTTTTTGGTGGCACCGTCACGGGAACATTCGAGGAAATTGTAAGTGAAAATTGCTATCATATCGTGAAGGATTCTGAGCAGAAAGTTTTGAGATTTCCAGTGAAATCTTTGGCTGTCGAACGAATCCACCTGAGCTATCTTTTCTTTTACAGAAGGCCAACGAACAAATCACCATGTCGTGGAGGTTGAAATCGTACCCCAATGACCATCATGCTAAGATCAAGTTCACGCTGAAGGATGAGGTAGTTTATGAAAGTTTTCCTTTTTTCTTTACAAATCAACATTGAGTCGTCATTGATAATTTTTATTTTATCAAGAGGGTAATTAATCAGTTCTTTCGACATACTTCTTTAT